GTAGTATCATTATCAGTAGTAGTAGTATCATTATTACTGTTGCTATTATTGTGGTTAGTGTTGTTATCCTTATTATTAATCATAATAACGATAATGATAATAATAATGCTATTGTTAATCATTTGAATGTTAGCATCATCGTTGTTATCATCATCACTATCATCATGATATCGTCACTATCATCATTCTCGTAGTCAGCAGCAGCAGCATCCTTGTAGTTATTTGAATCACACGTAGCCGATTGCCCTAGAGGTCCCTTCCAAAGCTGACTCCCCGGCTGCAAGGAGGGTGTCCCGCCCTGACCCCCGCAGCTCGGCCTGCAGAAGGACCATGTCCCCGCGCGGGGCAGGGGCAGTGCTTGTGTCCCCCTCCCGGGCCCGCGTCTCTCCCGCCTGGCAGGCAGAGCCCGGAGACTTTTCCCTGCTCCGATAGTACAAAGCTGCGGCATTCCCCTGGGACCGATGGGGCTGGGGGGAGTCCAGTTACCTCCCAGGTGGGGACCCTACCTCCGGGACAGGAGAAGAGTGTCCTCCCCCTCTCCCAACAACTGCTTGCTGGCCAAATAAATACATAAATAAATAAAATTAAACACCTCTCCCCCCACCTTTCTTTTGCGGTATCTGCGTTGCTGACGCCCCAAAGGCGCTAGATACCAGTCATGAGTCAGAAAACTGAGGCTGCTTTCGCTGCGACCCTGGCACAGGGATGCAGAAGTGCATGGGGAAGGGGGGGGAAGGGGGATAATCCAGCGAATCCATCTCGGACTCCCCCTTTGGTTGCCTTATTTTCTTCTTGGTGCCTAGACCTGCTCCAGAACCCGGGAACACGCTGGAGTTTTTGCCTATGGGGTTTTCTCTTTCTCTCTCTGTTCGACAGCATTTCATTCAATGTCTTGCTGTTTGATGCTGCAAGTAAATGACCCCCCACCCCCAGCACCCGTCCCGTTAGCTGAGGGAGGAGCAGGCTGCCCAGGCGCGCAGGGAAGGGCTGGGAGCAGAGGGCTGCGGAGTAAGACGCATGGCAATGACTCCTGCCTGCAGAAGTTGAGCAGCCGGCCCGACCCCCTCCCGCTGCGGCTGACTGGCGGCGCTGGGTGGGAGTGTGGGGGTGCATGGAGGGAGGGAGGGGGGGATGAACTAACGTGACTGTGGGCTGCACACTGTGACGGGAGGAAAAAGTTTCAGAGCAGGGCACGGCTGGGCGCTCTCCCCTCTCCCTTGGGCGCGCCTGGTTGCAATTAAACGGGCCTTGCTCTGCCAGACCCCGGGCCTGACCCCCACCCCCAGCCCGGTCAGCTCAAGGGGCTCGAGGAGGAGGCAGCCTGAACCCTCTGGGGAAGGTGCGGGGTGGGCACAAGGTGCCTGGCCCCGAGACCGCTGTGCCAGGGGAACCTAGCCGGCTGATCCTTTGCCGTCCTCACCATTGCCCTCTACTACAATACCCTCCCCTCCATCACACACACACACACACACACACGTGCAAATACACATTCATACGGACACACAGTTATACATATGCATAAGCATACATTCATGCACACATTCATATAGACACCCACCCATGCATGGCATATATATATGTACACACACATACACGCATACACATTCATACGCACATTCATCCAGGCACACACACACACCTGCATCCATGCACACATATGCATACAGACGCATTCATATATACACTCATCCAGGCACACACACCTGCATCCATGCACACGTCTGGATACACACACATTCATACGCACACAGGCAGACATATTCATACACGCACACCTGCATCCATGCACACGTCTGGATACACACACATTCATACGCACACAGGCAGACATATTCATACACGCACACCTGCATCCATGCACACGTCTGGATACACACACATTCATACGCACACAGGCAGACATATTCATACACGCACACCTGCATCCATGCACACGTCTGGATACACACACATTCACACACATTCATACACACGCGCATACACATGCATACACACGCATTCATACAGGCATAGACACACATGCATACATATGCATACATACACATTCATACACAGATACATAAGGGCTGCTGCTGTGTAGAGCCGCTCGGCCCCCGTCCTTCCCCTTTGCTCCCTGCCGGCCCGGGGCAGAGAAGCCGGGGGCCGGCAGGCACGTTCACCTAGGCACGCGACCCCCCCCCCCCCCCCCCCCGCCC